TAGAAACAGAATTAGGCTATTTTTATAGTCGAACAAAGTAAAGTCGAGTTGATAGAACTCGATAACATTATTTATTATCATTAAATTATAATTTTGTATTTTTTTTCCTTAAACCTTTAATTTTTTTTTTTTTTTTAATTATGAGTTTTGCACCCATCACTAGATTCTCTGCACAAACCAAAGGTAGACTGGTAGAGAATGCCTTTAGGCATTAAGTCCGCCGTTTTGTACATTTCTTGTATGTGTGCAAATAAAGCTTAAATAAATAAAATAAATAACTTTAAAGTAACTACAAATTCATTTCAGTGGCATTTTAAATTCATGGAATCCAAACGTATAATAATCAAACAATCCCGCACACACACTTACAATACCTAAGTACAAATAGAAGTATTTTATAAAAGTAATTTAGGTGCCTTACGTAGTGTATGTCGCCAAGGAAAAAATGTTATGATGATTACACCACGTGAAATTTCGCTAGGTGTCACAATAAAACCACAGAAAATTCATGATGTATCTACTTTACTTGCAAAATATTATTGATCAGATTGGCAAGATATCAATGAATTGAGCAACTACAAAAATATTATTTATTATTAAATATTATTAAAAATATTATATAAAATAACTATTGTGAATCTCGCATGGAAAACACAGCATTGAGAGTTTAAAAATGATTACTTTTGATATATTTTTATTTGATTAGTTTGTCATAGTAACATAAAACATTTCAATAAAATTTTATGTTTTTTGACAACCTTGACAGCTTACTGTTTAAATTATATTCTAACAAATATGGCGTAGTCCATAACAATCCCTTAGATCATTTACTCTCTAGATAACGCGTCACGCAATGAGCGATAAAACAAAAACAGGCCAGTTTTTACAAGCGTGTGTGCGTGAGGCATGCACACACGCTTAGCGGTTGCTATGGTGACAGAATAAATAGCTATGATATACACCAGCGTCATTTGTATCTGGGAGATGCCAACTAATAAATCTATCCCGATAAAATGGGGAAAATTGTAAAATTGTCATTTTAATAAAATCATAAATTATAATATTTTAATATGGTGCTTTCAATTGTGTGTTTAGTTATAACCAAATATAAATAATTTACGCATTTACAAAATATGTTTTATTATTTAATGTATGATATAGATTTATAAAAATACTAGAGGTTGGCTGGCAGCTTCGTCTGCGTCTTAGTTAAATAATTTATCTCGCACTTACCCTTTACCGTAAAATTGTATCCCATAGCGTTTTTACAGTTTAATAGATCCTTTTAAGAAGAATTGTTCCGTCCTGCATTGTTGTGCCAGCAAGTGTTAATATATGGGTGCCCCATTGAAGCTTTGCATCTAAGGTTACTCCTAGGAACACAGTAGTCTGTTCTATTTTCAACCTCTCACTATTTACCATTAAATGTTTGTAACTACTAATTTAATGGCCCTCGCTTTGAGTTTTTTTTTTTAAATAATTAGCGTTTTCTGGTTGCATCACTTTTTACATTATCTAATTTAGATATATGACTAGCTGTGCCCAGTGGTTTCACCCGCGTATATCACGCGTCTACGCCTTGCGACATGCGAACTTCGAGAGGAGACATCACGACGGACGGTTGCTGAATTAAAAAAGATTTAAAAAGTGAAATATTATGTTACTAAAATTACATGGTTAACGTAATTGGTGGCTATGCATGGTACAGGTACTGATATAGCCTTGAATACTAAGTGATTTATTGGGATATAAGGATTAATACCAAGGCCTAGTTTGTAACGGCGTTACTATTTCATATTTTAACAACATGAAAAAGTAGTTATTGTGACATAACTGTAATAGTTAAACCTATGGTATCGCAGGCTTTTTTGTAGATATTGATATCCTCTATAAAACTGAAGTACATTACTTTGCTCTATTATCAATAGTTTCCGCAGCGTACGCGATATAAGGACTCTTTTTGGTATTTTTTCACACCTTGGGTTACATTAACGAAGTTTTCCTACGGATCCCTAACTTTTTTGAAAATATTATATAGCCTATGTCCATCGGGGATAATGTAGGATTGTAATGGTGAAAGAATTTTTCAAATCGGTCCTTGGTCCAGTAGTTTCGGAGCCAATTCAATTCAAACAAACAAATCTTTCCTCTTTATAATATTTATATTATTATTATAGATAGATAGATAGATATATGATAACAGCGTATGGTCAAATATTTTAAGACAACTATAGCATCAGCTTTTAAGAAAACTATTCGGGGAAATTCGCAATCCTAGACTGGCAACACCAAAAAATGACGCCTTAATAAGTAATTTACGAAACCAAAACTAATAATTATCAATTTATTAGTTTTCTTTTCGTAAATTACTATTAGTTTTGAGTTACTTACCGATTATAGGAGATTTTCTTAGTTGTTTGTAAGCGTCCCTTGCAATTTCTGCAGATTTTGATAGCGCAACTTGTCATTTTTACCAAAATATTTTACCTCAAAAAATGAGCCGCGCGTGCGTATCTCTTGGCGTTACAATTGACAGTGAGGAGTGGGGAGCGCTTTAGAGGCTAACAGTTAGCTGATATTTTTTTCAACGCTTTTGAGACGCCGTTACTTCATCTAGAGAGTAAATAATCTAAGAACCATCCATAACAAAAACGGAGAAGTCCTTACTTTACTAACAAATGTGGCAAAGTCCATCATATTATTTAAGTTTCTTAGTTATCTGACTTATTTTAGCATTAAAATACAGCTTTAACTAAAAGGTATCAAAATATCACTTTATATAAATACATTATATCAGTAATATGAAATATCTTTTAAATGTTATTAGTTTTTTGTAAATGACTTAAAATTACTTTAACTGGACTTTGCCGCCTTTGTTATTAGACCCCTGGTATAAGGCTTCTGGATGTGACTCACGAATTACTGCCTGCAGCCTGCACACCATTAAAACTTCCTTTCATCGAAGAAGCTCTATCATATCCTTGTCCCAACTAAATATTCGCAATCTACTCCCAAAGATTTTAATTCAGATAAAATTGCATTTGTTACAAAAGTTAAAAAATCTTCACGCAAGGGAAACCCATTATCTTTTGGTTCGGCATATATTAGACAAATGGACATCTGTTCTTTTTTTATAGAAGAGGGGGCAAACAAGCATGCGACTCACCTGATGGTAAGTGATTACCGCCACCCATGAACAACCGCAACACCAGGGGAATTGCAGATGCGTTGCCGGCCTTTTAGAAAGGAGTAAGCTCTTTTCTTGAAGGTCCTTAAGTCGTATCGGTCCTGAAAAATCACCGGTGGTAAACAATTCCACAGAGAAATTGTACGAGGAAGAAAACACCTAGTAAAACGCACAGACGTGGACCGCCGAGCATCCAGATGGTGAGGATGGTATCGTGAATTTTAACACGATGTGCGTTCGTGAAATTTGGCGGCTGAAATAAATCCGAACAATTCCTCAGAGCACTTCCCATGGTAAATTCGATAGAAAATGCAAAGGGATGCAACATCGCTACGCAGTGCCAGTATATCGAGCCGATCAGAAAGATCTCGGTCGTTGATGATTCGAGCCGTTCTGCATTGGATGCGGTCAAGTGGAAAGTACTGGCACTGGGGTGCCCTGGCCCAGAGATGAGAATAGTATTCCATGTGAAGCCGAACTTGCGCTTTGTAAATTTGCAAGCGATGTGCCGGCATGAAATACTGTCTCGCTCTTCTGAGCACGCCAAGCTTTTTAGAGGCCAATTTTGCCTTCTCTTCCAAGTGACCACGAAACTTCACACTAATACTGTTCTTGTCGTGAAGCATCAGTAGTTTTCTTCATCTTATTCCAATTACTTTTGGCGCTCTTTTTAAAATTTATCCTATGCTACCGCAGCAACACCCTTATTGGACGCGTTTTTATGGACACTTATTCATATATAGAGATGGTCCTTCTTCAACTCTATACTTCATGGTATGTAGCAAGCCACAGAATACTTTTTAAGTAGCAAGCTATTACTCTCTAGGGAGTTTTGGCGGGAACTTGACAGGCGGCGGTTTTGGTGCTCCGGTATTATTGTTTAAATAATGGTTTGAAGTAGATTTTGATATGTAAAAGTGGTGCGATTTTGTGTATTAAGTATCTGCGCATGTGAACTATTAGTGGAAACGGTGAGATAAGTACTCTGATGGTGATGTAACTCTCAAGATAAGGTGTCTTTCTGCTTAGGAGCCTTGAGATACCATCGCTAACTGTCAGCTGTCTGCTGGCTAGGCCTGGGTCGTATCGCGTTTTCTGAGAATTGTATCTATATCAGATTTTGAATCTCAATATCGGATATCAAAACTATATATTTCAATATCTAGATATTCTACATACGTGTTTATATTTTCCACTCCGATAGGCTGTTGAAACCAACTTCAAAAAAGGAAGGTCTTTATTTGACTCGTATGTATGTACGTACATATTATGTATGTTTGAGATTTTCTGAATTCAAAAAAAAAAAAAAAAAAACAATTAACCAATTTTGGTTATATTTTATCAACTTAATCTTCATAAACGTCGGTTATTCTTTTTTGAAAATAGTTTTCATATAATATTGATTAAATAGTTCAATTAAAATAGTAGATATTTACAGTGTCTTTATTATTTATTTACAACATAAAAGGTATTTAAAATAATAAAAAGCGCAACTTTCTCTTTCCACTACGGGCAGATGTAAAAATAAATTGAAAATTTTAAATAAAATAACATAATATGCACTCGATTTTAGGCTTTAAAAAACAATAACATTTGAAATGTATCATTATTAGGCAACAAAAATTAAGCTTTAATACCTATATCGCTCTCGCTCTGTCATATTGTTACTTCAGGCTCAGAAGGGCTAGATCCCGGAGCCGTAAAGCCAGTTATAAAAAAAAACATGATTAAATTAATATTTATCAATAATTATTAATTATCCAGATTTTGTTGTAGTTGTAGCCACAAGTAATCATAATTTACGTTTATAAATATGTCACAAATGCATCTTTGGAAGTTTTTCTATGAAAGTGATTTATCTGGATACACTTTGGTAATTCCCAGTGTAGCTGTTGGAAATGTTGGGCAACTGGCATGTGACTTGCTAATTTCATCGTTGAAAATGAAGAAACTTGCTTCAGTCTACAGTCCAGCGCTTATTCCAGTTTTAGGATATGATCCATATGATTTGAAATCCACGAACTTGTCGTGTAGCTGCGAAGTTTACCAATGTGAATCGAAGAATATAGTTGTTTTACAAATAAGGGCACCTCTTGTTTACAAATACGCGCGATCCTTTTTAGAAAATGTAATTAGCACATTTATGACAAAGCAAATAAAAAATATTATATTACTGACAAGTAGTTATGCTCATGAAAATAAGCTTATTAGCACATCTCCATTTAGATACTTAATGACTGATAATTGTTCTTATGAAGAAGAAATTAAAAAACTAAATTGGACTAAACACCAAGAGGATCAAACACGGTTAAGGATTTATGGAGGAGGTTTTGCCACTATGTTTTTTGAAATTTGCAAGGAAAACTTGTTGCCTTGCCTTATTTTATATAAATTTTGTTCAGAAGGTGACAATAGTCCAGATGCTTATGACATGGTTCATAATTTGAATAAAGTTTTACCTGTATTTAATCAAGACAAAGATATATTTTCACAATTGTTGCCACCTGCCTCTTGGAAACTTTTATTCGGTGGACCAACACCTAAAGATATTTACTGATTAAATTATTTTAATTTTTAATTTGTTTTTAATTAAAATTCCAGTCTTTTGCAGCAGAGTTATCAATAATTTTATATTTTTATTACTCAGATGTTTTCGGTTAAAGCCAAAGGATTGTATGAACTTTCCTACTAAGAAATCAAGATGAGTCAAAAGTAAACAATGAAAAGTTTGTTATTTTTTAGTTTAGTGCATGTAAGCTAAGTTCTCTGCTCTTCAATTCTAAAAATATAGTGCGAAGATACCTGGAACTTTTTCAATCGACATTCAAAAACAACAAGCACTCAATGTATTCAATTATTACATCGGTTATTCCATTTATCCACCCTAAAATAGTCACCCACTTGGAAATGCATGTTGATCTATCCACCCAAGACGGTGGATAATCAGAATTTATATATTATTTTTCATCCGATTTTCTCCCTTGCCTGTGTACAGTCACTGTCCCAAGATACTTAGTAGATATTAACATGCCTATAAAACTATATACATGCTTGTTGTTTGAAAGGTCAAAGCTGAAATAAAAGAAGTGCCACAGGACTACAAATTCATTGGAACGATAAATGAAGTTGAAATTTTAAATTAAGTTACAGACAAATATCCAAATTTAGTAACTTTAAAAAAGCTATTGCAAATATATACTAAAAGAGACCAATATAACCAGGATGTAAAATTTCATCTACTTAATAATGATATTAAGTGTTGGTTGGTAATTTACTGGATATATTACAGAATTTATAAATTACGTTATTTAAAACAAAGTTTAATTTGATTTAAATGCAGTATGTAGAGATTGCAACATCCGGATTTTTTTGAAATACGAATTTCTGTATTTTCCTATACTTAAAATCCGGATTTTTTGAAGTTTTAAGGTGATTTGATAAAACGGAAATAAAACAGCATAAATCAATGAAAATCTGCATTTATTCAGACACGACAAAATAAAATCAACTAAAATAAACAACAAAACACAGTCATAACCTAAACACAGATTAATGATAAGTCATCGCGCGCACCGCGATGATTCATCATTAATCTATACCTAAACATAACAAAATTAATTGCAACAAAACATATTTAGGTATCCTTTTTTTATATAAAACTGTAGTTTCCAAAAAACGAATGTTTAATACCCCATTTACACTCGCGTGAGTGACGAGGCGAGTCGCGAGGCGAGCCACAAGGCGCGAGTGTAAACGCTAGCTCGTGGCTCGCCTCGCCAGTCGCGGCGCTCGCGTCGGAGGCGGTTTTTGGGCACGAGACAAAGGGCCTCGCGAGGGACGCGAGCGTGGTGTTTACACTGGCGTCTCGTTTCAGTTTGTTTTTATTTTATTTTATTTTTTTATAGGATAGGGTGACAAACGAGCACACAGTCCACCTGATGGTAAGTGGTTGCTGTGGCCCATAGACATCTACATTTATCCTCGTTTGCGAATCAAAATGCAGATGCGTTGTCACCCGTGAGGACTAAGATGGAATGCCTCTTTTTCCAGTAAAAAGGGTCTCCGGTTCTCTATACTCACCATACGAAACACAGCAGCGTTAAGCTGCTATTTTACGATGGTATTCTGTGAGAGCGTGGTCCTTCCCCGGTCGAGCCGACCCATTCGTGCTACAACTATACTACTAATATAGCTGCAGCATGGCTCTACCACGTTTACGGCGCCCTTCCATAATAACATTCGAATTGCTTTTGTTTTAAAATTACAATTTTAATAAAATAATATTATTTAATCTTGCACAATAGGTACTAGCAATTTATACAAAATTATGAAACTAAAAAGGTTCTGTTTCGATGAATAGATATCATCCGTCATATTCTTCCTCAACGACGTATTTTTATTAATTTCTTTCTTTTTAAAATGGTCAAACATCGATAAATACTTATTAAGGCTAGAGTTGATGCCGCTATTATTTCGATCGTTGCTGGCTCAACGCAAAACTTTTTTTTTATAACCCCGGTCACTCACATTCGTACGAATACGCAAACCCACAAGTGTGGGACGACATTTGCAAATGATTATGCAGTTTTGGCTGCATTCGCGGTTTTCCAAGCCGTGTCGGTTTTTAATGGACATCAAAGCCCACAAACCTCGATCCTTCGCGTACTCTCCCACACATTCGTGCGACCAGTTGCGCACACGATTGCGAAGGTAACGGACGTTTTGCCATTTTCATAGTTCGTGACGTCTACTGTGTAGCGTAATTCAAATAACTTTATCATGGATTAGAACAACACCAAGGTGATGGAGTTCATTGAACTCCTGCAGAGCGAACCGACCATATGGGATACTCAAAAAATCCCATAAAAACAGAATGGCCGTTAATGACGCCTGGGAAAGAATTAAAAATTCATTTTATGTATATATAGTATATGAACATAGGTAAAACAGTCCAACCGTACTAATAAAATCATTTTCATTGTCCATGATTCACAAAATTGCAAGCAAGACTGAGACATTCGTAAACAAGTGTAGGAGTTTGCGAAATAATTTCTGGCGGCCCTTCACATGCGAACATTCGTACAATGTACAAATGTTTGCGCGTATGTGAGTGACCCGCATAAAACATCTTGTGCAGCCAGTTGCACACCGTGTGCAAGGCATAATTGATGCAGTGTTGCCAACTGCAGGTTTTACCCAGTTGCTAGACATTTTTCAAAATGTTGCTAGATTGACAGTTTTTTTTACCCCAAAAAGTTGCTAGAAGTAGCTAAATGTTCCGGCATGTAGGTAGATTGCAATAAAGTGCCAATTTCTGACAATCATTTTGATTTTCATTATTTCCAACAAGAGAGTTAAAAATGTCTTGTGTACTGTCAAGAGCAATATTGTGTAAACAACATAGGACTATATTATATTATATTTATTGAATTCTTTTGTGGTACATGTAGTTTTGTGTCGGAACGCTTAATGTGACAAAGTTTTATGTTGTTTACATTTTATTGCTCATGACTGTACGTTATTGAATAAAAAAAAATAAGTTAATACTTAATAAGTATATATTGATTATAACTAATCAATCAAAGAAGATGTCGATGGTTGGGGTTCATTGTCTTTCATCGTTAATTTCGAATATTTAATTATTTCAGCGGTGCCCATTATATGCATTACATCTTTAGGCAAAACAGAGTTATAGCAACATTTACCACTTTTTCTGAGGGAGTCTCTAATGCAGAGGATTGAGTTCAGAGCTATCAAAATCATTCGGTTCCTTTACTTATTTTTTATTCATTTGAGAGAATAACCTCTCTACCTCTAGCATTAGAATGTGGCAGTGAAAGGCAAGTTAAAGCAAGAGTACTTATATCTTGGTATATGTTGTCACCGGAAGAATTTGTAAAATTTTTTACTTCGACACAAAATTGCACTATTTCTTAAGAATGCCACTTATTTATATGTAGAATGTGCCTGTTGCATTATTTTGTCTATTGTTTCCGGTGTAAATCCCAAGATTTCAGCAACCTCGATGACAGTGTTTGACTTGATTGGTTTTATTGCCTCTTCTGTACTTAGCAACGCCATTGATTCTAGCTGCTTGTAGTTGTCTGGAAGTCTTTGCAGCAATTCCTTAAGTAATTGTAGTAAGAAGGCAGAACAGCGTTGTCGCATTGCATTTAAAACTTCTGACTCTAAATTTTGTTGAGATGTTGCAGTTTCAAACATGTAGCCAAGATAAGGCCTAGGGTTAGTATCCCTGTCAATTATTGGATCTCATAAGTTCCTGTTTACAGATCTTGATATTAAAATTCTCTAGCTCACTGATTGTATCAGTGTTGTGAGTGTAATAAGAAGTTTTAATGGATTAGAGTTCTCACTTTCAAATGGTTTAGTTGCTGTTTGAACATTTTTTAGAACGCTTCTCAGAAACACAAAATATAAATAATTTCTTTTGTCTTCGAGCATGTTGTAAATAAGCTCAGCTGAGTAACAATTGTCTTTCCCTCTTGTTAAATTAAAATGTAATTTTATTTCTTCCCATTGTGTCACAATTTTTGTAATCGCTGGCTCTATTGAAAGCCAACGTGTATCGCACACCTTGGTGATTTTCAATGGACCTTCGCCACAGTTAATAAGTTCGTATATTTTTGTGTATTCATCTCGCCTCTTAGGAGACACGGAAAACCATTTATAAATTTCTCTAATCAAAAACTCGATATTTCTTGGCAGAGTATTTTTGGATGCATGGGTCACTGCTAACTGCAACGAGTGGCAGACACATCGTATCAGTATCAAATTTTCTATACCATATTCTCTTTTTAGGATTGCATGAACGCCGTTATTAATGCCTGTCATAACAGATACATTTTCAGTTCCAATTCCAATCATTTGTTTAATATTTAAGTTGTGACTCTTTAAGCATGATACCAGGCCATCAACGATTCCCCTAGCATCTGCACTCGCAATAGAGACTAGTTCCAGGAATGAACCTACTATGTTTTCCTGTGTGGCACTATAATATCTAATTACAAGACTAAGGTGTTTACTGACACTGACGTCGGTGGACTCATCCATTATAATACTAAACTTTTGATTTCCAATATCATCTAAGAGTTCTTTGCGAAAGTGCGGCATCAACACATTTTTCATTATTTCTGTACATTTAGTTCGATGCAATTTCAGCTCCTGTGTAGCTTTGGAGTCTTTGAAACACATTTTGCATAGTTCACCTAAATGGTCTACACTTAATATAGAACAGTGCTCAGCAATAAATAAGGTCAATGCGCCTTCAGATTCATCGCAATATGAATGGTCTTTTGGTACAACTTTGAAAGGAATTTCTTTATTATATCTATATAGGAATTTGCAAAGACAAAATTAATATTTGTACATAAGTGAATAAAAGTTTAAAATGAGTACTGTTAGCAATTTTTGAATTTGCCGCGTTGTTAAAGTTGATCTTCATAACTGGATTTTATTTATTTTAGAGCAATACTAATAAGAGTCTGGCTCATTTCTGTACATGAAAAGAGCGGCAAATTAAAAAAAAAAGCGATTTCA